GGTCAACAGATACTCTGCAAGAAAACATTTCGTGAACAGTTACTGTGAGGCGCAATATTCATAGTTCGTGCGCAAAGCATATACTTTGCGATGCGCCGAAAACATATTTGATGAACATTGGAGGTCGTATGCTGGCTTATGAAACCGTAAAGCCTCAGCCGCACTGCTCGTACATAATACAAAAAACAGTGTTTGCTGTAGACAATTACATCCGGACACGCCTCAAGCAACGTAGAAGCCATTCACATGTCTGCACCAAACATGCCTGCAGACAGTTGTACGTGACGTCATACAAAAAAGGCCTCAAACAATGTGTTCAGACTGTCTTTTGTGTGATGATCTCTCTGTGAGACCGCGACTTAAACCATGTACGAAGATGAGCTATGAAATCTGCTGGTGCGAGCGCATTTTTATCTAGAGTGCCCTCATTATATTCCCAGGCGCTCCGTTCGCTTTGCGAACGTAGCGAAAAAGTTTGACCCGGCTCAACTGCTTGCGTTCCATACCAACACGAACAAAACGGTCGATTGGCGCTTCGTTGCTATGGTAACTCGTCGTTCCAAACGGTTGCATTCGTTCTACTCAAGCATCTAGAAAACGAAACTCTACTTCGTGAAGAAAGAGCCATGAAGAGCAAATCCGTTCAGCAGAAGACGCACGGGGTTTGACAGTGCAGGCGCAGTCTGATCTTTCTTTTGCTTCGTTTACCACGCCATAGATGCCGCATGGCTCCAAGCATTATAAACTTCGACAATTTTCGTAACATCTCTAATTATGCTACAAAATGAGGATCGAAATATTTTAAAAAATGTTCACGAAACGTTCACGGGATATTTATTGTTTACAATCGCGGTGCAGCTGAGTTCGGCTCTTATCCAATAGGCGACGTGGATTTGGCACGGCGGATGCATCACAGTGAAAAGGCAGATAGCTTTCGAAGAAAGGAAGATGTAAAAAAGACCGCTTTTCTTTTAAAATGTTTATGGCAAAAAAAAAAAAAAAAAAGAAGAAAACGTTCGCCCCTCTATTCTGGAGGTTTTTTTTTTCACACATTTTAGGACGTGCGGTGGATGAAATTTGATTTCAATATCTTTTCAAAGTTCCTTTAACACAACATTCCGTCTGTCTGATATAACCACGCAGACATGCACAAGTTGCTAAAAAGTGTAATTATGTTAAGTTACTGAGTATTGGCCTCAAATGTAATCTGATTAGAATAGAAACTACTCAAATAGAAAGTAATCGACTAAATTCCTAACTGCCGTAAAAAGTAGCAAACTCCCAGGTAGCACACCACACTGGGCCAATATTGGGCCAAGCCAGGCATGCTTGGTCCAATGTTGGACCAGGTTTGCCATTTTATGGCCAATATTGGCAAATGTTGGGTGAAACTTGGTTAGCTCGGCCGTTATTGCCAATTTTAACCAGTATTCTGCCAATATTGGCTCAATATCGGGTTATTTCGGCTAAATCGGGCCGTTATTGCCCATTTTAACCATTATTCTGCCAATATTGGCTCAATATCGGGTCATATCGGCTAAATCGGGCCGTTATTGGCAATTTTCACCATTGTTCTTCCAATATTGGCTCAATATCGGGTTATATCGGCTAAATCGGGCCGTTATTGCCAATTTTAACCATTATTCTGCCAATATTGGCTCAATATCGGGTCATATCGGCTAAATCGGCCGTTATTGCCGATTTTCACCACTATTCTTCCAATATTGGCTCAATATCGGCTAAATCGGGCCATTATTACCGATTTTAACCATTATTATGCCAATATTGGCTCAATATCGGGTCATATCGGCTAAATTGGGCCGTTATTTCCAATTTTAGCCATTATTCTGCCAATATTGTCTCAATTTCGGGTCATATCGATTTGGATTGTTGACTAAAGTGGGTACTGGAACGTGACACAACCGTTGCCAGACTAAACTGTCCAAAACTCTGGTATTACCGATAATCGCAACTCCTTCGTGGACACAGTTCAACCACTGGTGGGATAGGACCATTAAAAAGGTTAACGACAACCATTCAAAAAATTAATTCTGTGCATGGTTCGTACAAGTGGTACGCGTGGTACGCCCTTAATTCGCACTTCACGCAGCGTCAATTTTCGGCACCTGCCGAAATTCGGAGCGCACAGCATTGTAGGTGGCGCCACAGCGTGTCATCTGCTTGGGCCTAATCCTCGGGGTGCTGTCGCGACTGCCACGTATACTTGCCGCTTCCTTTTGATCTGATTCGACAAAAGCAGCTGGCACACGTGCTAAACACGACCATGGGAACATCGTCCCTAGCGGGCTGTCCTTTGCTTGCTAATCTGTGCCACAATTGTTTTTGTTGCTCGGGCAGTCTCTTTACATGACAGTACAAGCTACTGAAGAAAATCAGCCTAGCTCCTGTTGCCTGACGAAGTCTAGAGTATGAGAATACAGTCAAACGTGGACATAGCAAGTTCAATGCTATAAAATTTTCAATCTAACGAAACTACTATTGCGTTGTCCACAACTCCTTGCTTACGCGGCGAGCAAGCTTGCCTGCTAGCCGCGCACAGCAAACGACAGCCGCCGTGGCGTCACGCCAATGTGGTATGCTTGATTTTCTGTCGTCTGGTCTGTGGCAGGTCGTAGCAATGGCCAGCCCTTTTCGGCGCCTGTCGGCAATTTACTGCCGTTTTAGGGATGAGGACAAAGTGTATCAAAAAGAGCAGAAATACGTCGAAAAGTAGGTTATTTACCCTGACGTGAAGCAGTTAACTGTGAGAGGACATGCACAAGTCTCGGCCGCCATGAGTTTCGCCGAGAGACGCGGAACCCGAAGACACTATGAAGCTCCTGTCTCGCCTCCACATTTCCTCGCTCAACTGCAGCAGACCAAAATGGGCCCACTTGCTGCACGTATAGGCATTATGCATTTTGGCCTCAATATACCAGGCTGAGTTCTGTCGCAATTTCAGTTTAACCAAGTGAGTGTGGCTCAGAAGAGAGAGAGAGAGAAAAATAAAAGCTCTGAGGCAGCACTATCAAAGTTCAGTCTTCAGAAGGAGTTTTGCTGCACAGAAGCGCTGGCAGGGTTACTTTACGGTAACAGGTCTCACAAAATAGCATGACCAGTTGCACCGGAGGGGCTTATTACATAGCGAGTCTGTCTGCTCCGTGGAACTGTGCAATTGGCTATACAAAACTCCACATGCTTTATATAAATGCAGTTTTAGGCTATATAACCATTTTACACAGAAGTTCAAAGAATGTGAAAGAATTCATACTTGTTAGAGATCCATGTAAGGTCCACATTTTTCCAATGCTAAACGATTGTGATATCCATCCCCGAGATATCTATCCACCAGTCACCCACCTGCAGTACACTCCGACACATTTTCTCATGAGATCTCTGGACGTAAGCTACTGTTGTCCCAAATAAAGGCTAGTTTCGAAGAGCATATGCGGGAAGTGAGCTTGTCTGCTAGTTATGCAGAGCAGACAGTCGTGTGACGTCAGGCCGAGCTCCTGGGAGGATAGGGCAAACAATGTCCGCTCTCCAGCAGGTCTTTTATTACAGCTTCTTTGCCTTTTCTGCGGTTGTTGGAAGTTTACTGCCACCTCAGGGGCGAGGTGATGTTGGGTGAGGATGCGGCATACAGAAAAGAGAAGCGGAAATACCCAGAAGGGTACATTCTTTCACTTGATGGGAAGGTATTCACCTTGAGATAACACATCCAAGCCTCGGCCACCATGATCCATGGCCAGAGACGACGGACCCTGTGGTAGGCCGGAGACGATATATAGGTGCCATGAAGCTCATCTTTCTCCTCCACGCATGTTCTCTCATTATTATTATTTTAGTTTTATTATCTAATGCCCCACACAACCATTAGGTCTTGGTGTAGAGGCACAAAGAAAAAATTGAAAAACACAATCAAAACTACCTGTCCACTTGCACAGAGTATGTCCACACCTGAGCATCGTACCGGCTGCGCTCGTGTAATCACATACTGGTGATGCACGTTAAAGACCCCAGGATCGCAATTGTACCGCACTGGCCAAATTGCCCATCTACAGCATGAGACATGTATTAAGATGGCTGACCAACATAACGCTGTTGGTCAGCCATGCCCTCAACAGAGGGCCCTTAAGGATTAATAAAGTAATGAAAAGATCCAGGTCCATTCCACGTTTGAATACAATGAAACGTGATCAAACAGGCGTGACGGACAATGACGAAGGACAGAACACAAACATGCCTTGCCCTTGTCCGTCACACCAGTTTAATCATGCTTCACTTGTACAAACTAGCATAGCGCACCACTTTGCATGAATATAACGAGATCAGAAAGCACATCAGTAGCAGGGGATAATCTGTTAACACAAATTTGCATTTGAACAACCGGAGACAATTTCACATGAGTAGAAAGTAAAACACATAACGGCCCCTAAAATCAGAAGGCAATGCATGAAAATTAAGAAATTATGCAAAATCACCATCCAGAAGTCCATGAATGGTTCTACATAAAAATAATGCATTGTAAGCAATTCTTTTTTATAGGTTCTGCAGGGAAAGTATTTTAAGGATGTATTTATACTCGTAAGTACATAGGCTTCCAAAGTACTCATCATAAATAATATGAATAGGTCGCTTTTGTGCCTTTTTCTATGTGTCATGTCAAATCTAATTGAATTCCAAGCCACAGTACAAGACTTAAGTTGAACTTAAACTAAGGAACAAACTAGCCTAACAGCACATGCAGGATTAGCACCATCCAACGGGCTTGTGATTGGCCCCCTTGGCCTGTAGCTTCACCGCTTAGTCCAGCTTAGGGCGAGACGGAGTATAGAAGTTCACACAGGGCACAAAATACACCTGGAGATGCTCCAAGAGTCGACTGATGCCTGACAGTGCCGCTGCACATGACACTTCACCGTCAGCTCAAACACTGGCAACCACTCGCAGGTCGCCTGCTTGATGCCCTGTACAATGGGCTTGGCAGGCTTCATGAACAGCTTGAAAGGACCTTGAGTGACGATTGGTAGCACTGCTGCACACAACACTCCACTGTCAGTTCAAATGCTCGCAGAAACGCACAGTTTGAAGGGTTGGCACCTTGCATGCTGCACTTGGAAGATTCCTTGCACAGTTCAGAAGAGCTCTGACGGACGCCTGGCAGCATTGTTGCACACAACACCGCACTGTCAGCTCGAATGCCAGCAGCAATGCACAGCTCATCTGCTTGAGGCCTTCCACACAGCATTTGGGAAAGCTCTCAGTCAGCTCAAAAGAGTCCTGATCAACATCCGGCAATTTTGTTGCCCACAAAACATAACTGTCAGCTTAACTGCTGACACTAGCGCACAGTTCAATTGCCAGAGGCCTTTCAGAATGCAGCCTGCAGAGGTTGGAAATCATACGAGGGCCTCAAAGAAGCTACAAAAGCTATGTTAAAGGCCTACAGCAGATGTAGAAGTGGAAGGATGACATGTCTGCTTTTGTAGTCCAGTCTGAGGTATTGAACAGCAGTGTCAAGTTCGGAAAGGTTGTACATTTTAGTCACGTGCGTGAGGGAATCGCACTGCCAGATGCCGATGGCGGACGACTTGATCGGCAGTTCAAAAAAATCTGTCATGTTTGGCAGAATGCTTGCCTTGAACCTGTCTTCAAGGAGCTTCAAGACGACAACTGCAGACTCGTTCAGCATGAAGCACTGACCTGCTTTGACAATGCGTTTCGGTTCCGAAATCTCAGGTTGATACAAATGTCTGACTTCAGACATTCGTCTGCTGATCTGCGCTAAAGGCTTGCTTGTTGAACGTAGCATTTTCTTAACCTTACCCAGGAAACTTTCAAAAGGAAACGCACTAAAACTGTCAAGAGGGCCATGGTCCAAACACTGCTCAGCCAGATGGCTGAGCGTGTGCACGTTGTAAACGAGCTGCTTGGCCCCATACAAGGTGCCAAACTCCTGCACAAAGTACCTAAGAAGGTCCCTGGCAAATCCGTTATAAACCTCGTAATGTGCAGGAGATACAAGAATTCTCACTGCCACATGCAGCATTAAAAAGTGACGGTACTGATCGTTTGGCAACACATGCTTCAAAACCACAGGTCCCACATACAAGAGGAAGCTTCGAAACTCTGTGGCCTTCCACCGGTCAAGTTCCTCAGTGCCTCTTGGCTTCCTTTGAAAGTTGCTGGGGAAACGCTTACTGCAACTTCGAAGTAAATCATTCAAATTTTCACGCTGCTGTCGACTTAGGCGTCTCCCGAACCCTTGGCTAACCCAGTTTCTCAGAAGGCGCCGCATAACGCCAAGACAGACGAGATGCATGTACTCCGTAGGAAACCATGACACCATGTCGACATCTAAAGATTCAAATGGCGACGTTCCCGTGTGATGGTGCTCGTCTTCCTGAGACCGGAACGACTCGTTGGTGCGTTGTGGTGAGTGCAAATCAGGAAATGTCATTCGACCCTCGAGATGCAGGCCCCTCTGACTGCACCGTTCGCAGGCGTGATAGCCAGTGTGCCCAACTATTTGCTTGATAAAGCTTCTTGCGGGTGCGTCGCACACCATGGCCGTGATGCTGACAGTGATGTGGCTCCCCTTGAAGACCATGCCATGCACTGTGAGCTTGCGGGCTTCTTCAAGGAATGCATACAGGTACTGCTCCAGATTTGGGGGCTTTCCTGTGCCGCAGTATAAACTGACCATAAAAGGTGACGGCAGAGGGGTCAAATTCGTTATCCGGCATAATAAGGGCCAGAAGCTCACCTGTGAGCTTTTGAACAGGGGCAGACCGTCAATGTTCCCTTGGAGCTTAATCTCCTTAGGAATGGGGCAGCCTTGCAATGACTGACGGATGCCTTCTTATAAGCCGAAATGCACAAACTTGTCACATTGCTCTAGTCGGGACTTCCGTTCTGTGCACAACACAGTCCGCGCGTCTTTGGGTAGTCCGGCAATGCCTCGACGCCGACAAAAGGCAAGAACATCGTTCAGACATACGTGGCTCATGTTGTGCTTCCCAGCAATACTTGCGAGCTCGTCGCATGCCGAGAGTTCATGCGGCTGGGATGACGACGTAGTGACAGCGTTCGGATTCGCGCTGCCGTTTGGTGGCTCCGAGTTATGGTCAGCGCTTTCCTCTGACTGGTACTCATCGCTCGTATCGTCTTCCGACGAATCGTCTTCCGACGAATCATTTTCTGAAGAACTCGCCAGCACGTCAGATCTCGAGACTTCAAAGCTCGCCGACTGCACCTGGACTTCCAAGTCACCCGAACAGCCAGCTTCACTCGACTGGAAAACGCCTCCGGCTGCAGGTTTATCAGAGCGCGCAACATCGCTGGAAACGGCATTGCCCGTCAAACCGCCTTCCGTTCTCGGCTTCTTGCAGCTTGCAGCTTGAAGATCCGCCATGAGCTGCTCATGGTCCTTCTTGAGCTTCCGGTACTTACGCCACTTGTTCATTATCAGGAAGTAGCGCACCAAATGCAGTCTTTAACACGGCGAAATACGAGCCACAACAGAACAGAGGCGCAGACCACTGTGGTGCAGACGCAAGTTGTTGCCAGATGGTCTCAACAAAAAACCGCCAAACGCCTGGGTGGTATAGCCCAAATATAGCCAAAACTAAAAACAATGGTTTTTAAGCCTTTTTTGACAATTTTTCACACACATACAAGACACGTTACATTATCTTTTTCAAGCCCCAGATGCGCCACATTTTGTGCACATTATGTCACTTGCAAATTAAAAAAAGAGTAAAGCTATACGCACTCCGGAGTGCGCCCCTCCGAGAGATCATGCCGCTCGGGCCACCCTTTTCGAACGGCGCGTGAATCACTGGGGCGCTCGTTAACACAGCCCCCCGCCTGCGTTCACGCCGCTTCGCGGCGGCAGTATCGGCTGCTAATTACAAAACGTAACCAGTGCACCGTAGCCGGCAATCCAAGCCCCGCTGTCCCCGATCGCACCTCCGGAAAGGGAGTCCGCTACCATTTAGTTGTGCAAAGTTTCTCGACAACATTCGATTTTTTTTTTTTTTTTACTGGTCATCGCAAAATAGGAAATGTCGTAAATATCGCCAAATGCCTCGACAAAACAAAATGTTTGAGAAAAAAAAAAAAAAAAGTTGGCCCACCGCGGTTCGAACCCGCGTCCACTTGCGTATGAAACGGACATCCTAACCCCTACGCCATGGCACCGCTTAGGAAACTCGTTGTGTCCACTCTTTTTATACGAGAAAAGCGGAGTGCGTATAGCCATTTCCGTTCGAAGCGCACTCCGGGGTGCGCTTCGGACGGAAATGGCTTAAAAAAAAAAAAAAAAACACTTCGGAAGGAAGAAAACAAAACTGTCACCTCCTTCGCAGGTCTTCAGAAGTACAAAACACACAAAGACAGTTTTATCGTGAAGCCCGGGATATGATCATTACAGTAAACGAACAGAATACAGAAGCAGAACGGTAACACTTGGTGTTTCAAACAGGGATCACAATATCTAAGGTCCTTACCAATATCCTACCCGTCTCTTTTTCTTTGTGTAGAATATGAGTGTTCCCCATTTCGGTTCACGCTATTTCTGATTGTGTTGTCCTTTCTTGGGGTGGGCGAAGACTGGAAGGTAGTCAATTGTTCAGCGGTGAAACTGCGGACTTTATATTTACGAACTTGGGTGCCTAAGGATTCTCTCAATGGGCACCAAAGCACGCTTGAACTTTGCAGAGTTTAGTCTAGGCCCGGGTAGAGGACGCCCTACCACTGTTTGGTTTGCTTCACCGCGCACTGTGGAGACCGCTTGAACTGTGCAAGCATTGCTTCTGTGCGCATTGTCAAAACGACGAAGTTTGTAGAAGTTAAAAGCCGTTCTCTTTCCTCTCTCTTCTATCGAATGGCCAAAAGAGATACAATTTTTTTCGAAGCTGATAAGAAGTTCAAAAATTAACTAGTCAAACCTCAAAGTTCCACGTCGAAACTGAGGTTTCGACAAAAGTTCGCCGCATCCTTAGAAGTAGCCCAAAAATAGCCATATAGAACAGTCACCGCAGCCGCCGCAGCTAGAGCACTATATAGCTCCTACGGAGCAGAGTAGCGCAATCCTTTGAACCCCGTGTTTTGCCGACAACATGGCCGACAGAGCGGCTCGGCGCAAGTCACGTGGTACTCGGGGTTCCAGGAGGCGGCCCGCCCTATGGGAGAATACATGGAGATCGACATAACACGGCTGATTAAAAAAGTAATGGCGAGTTCACATTTTTCAAAACTAGCCTGTCGTGAAGTTAGTAAAGCGCTAAACACTTTAGCAAAGTTTTAATAATATCGGATGCGTGTGCAAATTTTGAGAAGGCAATTTCCAAGGCAATGGCGTTTGAAGCAGACGATTTTTGCTCGCAGCGGAGATGGGCTTTTCGGGTTGGCCGGAGCGGGTCACGTGAATGTTGTGACGTCGCCGTGTCGTCTGCTGCATGATGCCGCTCAGGCAATTTTTTAAAAAAAGTTACGTCATTGTATGGCACAAAACTTATCGCATATTATTCTAAAATGTTTAATTATTATGTCAAAAATGATTTCCATTCCGCACATCCCCACAAAACTGAAGAAACAACGATTTTCTCACGTTCTCCATGCATTTCTGACCGCAGTTGGAACCTCCGGGCGTTCGCCACTAGTCGCCGAGAGACGGCGTTCTAGATTGCGCTACTCTGCTCTATACACGTTTGCAAGTCCGGCTTCAGGGCGCTGCCATCTTGCCTGTCTGGGGTGCGCTTGGACCAGTCATAATCCGATTACGAAGCCTTGCTAAGGCGTCGTAATCGGATTATGGCCGCTCCCGAGAGCGCACCCCACTGAGGAAGATGGCGGCGCCCTGAGACCGGACTTGCAAACGTGTATAGCGCTACATTGGTCGGCCATCTTTGTGTGGCGTGTGCTGGCGTGGTGCACCCACAAAGGACTACAACTTCCAGGATGCACCGCGGCCGTCGTGGGATCGGTCCATTGTGACATCTCGATGATAGCGTCACTTGCATCTGTTAGTATGTTTTGCCGATACTTTTTAACCAACCGCCAGGATCGGGCTTTCCGACAGCATGACAAACGTGACGTGGTCGGGTTTCCGCATCGCGAGCAACTTGATACATGGGAACTATAGGACAGTAAACGCGCCAGTAGAAGACGCGTTTCAGGCATCACAGTTCCCACCACGCAAAGGCCTTGTCCTTTGTCCCTCTTGTTCCCCTTCTTTAGGGATTATTTTCGTCATTCTTGTCCAGCTCGCTTGCACCTTTGCATTTAATAGCAATTTAATCGTAAGTCTGAAGAAGAGGTCTCTTAGCGGAACGTCGGCCACATTGTGAGGCTTCCAGGAGACTCATTTAAGTACGCAGAGGTTCGGCCATCAAATTTGAGTCTACAACAAAGGTGTGCTACGAACATAATAACGTATTTCGTGCACCATGCCGTAGAAGGACCAGGCGACAGAGCCCCACAGTGCCATGGCCACAAGTTTATTTTGAGTAAAAAGAACAGGAAGCATCTGTGGGCAGAAAAGCACATACAGGAGAGCGCTCTTTTCATATGCGGGATTACCGCGCATGGGGCAGAAAGAGCAAGGTAATCCCACGAACTACCCGAAGGCGAACGACGTGACGCATTGAGGCAAGTTGCAGCCCAACGAAAAGACATGCAGGATGCGGCCAATGTCCATGTGACCGAGGTGGGCCCATTTATGCTCATTGCTGCCCCTATGTTCGAAGAATTACTCGCGCCATCAGAGGTCACGAGGAGCGGTACGGAAGGGAGCTGATATTTTTGAATGCAACAAGTTACTGAAAATGTCGTAACCCCTGCCCTCGCCCTCCCAGAAAAAGACCGCTTCTTCCTGAAGAAGGAATTGTAAGTACCGTAGCCAAGCCGGATTTCGACACCCAGCCGGCCCCTCCAAAATTTGTTCCCCATAACGCGGATCCCAAAAGGCCCAAAAACTGATTGGCGTTCACTCTGTTAGACATATGCCTAAATGTAGTCCATGCGGCATTGTAAGCGGGTCCCATGTCAACCACCGTTATTAGATCTAATAACGCTGATGCCAACGAGACCCTCTACCTCGTTGGCCCATATATGTAAAAAAAGTACATTTGGAAGCACGTAATTTTGCGTGATTTAGCGGTCTCGCTTCACAAGAAATACATGTTAAAAATTTCGGTTACTCGTACAACAACTAGCGCACTGCTTGTTTTAGAACTTCCATCTTAAACCGGAGACACGGCAAAATAAAAAAAAAAACGGACAACACAACAACAGTTGTTGTGTTGTCCGTTTTTTTTTATTTTGCCGTGTCTCCGGTTTAAGATGGAAGTACTTCACCAGCTCGCCTGTGCGTTTACCCTTTCTTCGTTGTTTTAGAATACTAACTAAAGAGTGCAAAATACTGTATAAACAGTTCATAGAGGGCGCGCTAAAACTTTTAGATTACGTTAGGCTTGATGACTTCATAGAACTACGTCTATTCATGCCTTGTTCTTTGCTTCTCCCAGCCACTAGCAGCCACCTTCCCAGTATATCCGGTCACAGAGCATCCGGTCTCGGCAGGCTCACGCAGCTGTAGCCTTGGCCATTGAAACGCGCTCGAGGAGCAAGGGAGCGAGGAGGAAGAAAAGAGGAGAGAGAAGAAGAGAGGGTGCGCCACGGTAGAAGGTGGACGGAAGGAAAGAGTTTTGTAGGGGCCAACTTAATATATGCACCACGCCTGCCGCTAGGGGCGCGAGTAGTCGGAGGAATGCAGAGT